AAACATGTTAAATATCACTACACGATTAAAATCATGTTTCAACACAACAGATGTGTCTCTTCGGGCAATGTCAAACCACTGGCGAGCAAAAGATTAAATAAATTTCAAAAGCAGAATACGTTTAAAAAAAATTTAAATATGAGCGTTCGAGAGAAATCATAGGAAGTTTGTAGTTTAAAAACAGTAATTTAACCTTACTAACCGGACGCTTCCTCTGTATCTAAATGTGATAGCACGTCACGCTATATGGCGGCTCCCTGTAGGTTACAGTGTAGGATACAGAGTCGATTCCTGTCGGAGGACACATTTTCTTTAAGATTTCTCGGACATTCAGGCCGGTAAATGTTGTTAATACTGTTAACAGAGCATTTACTTAAATATTTATATCTATAAAAATAACGTATAAACAAAAGATATATTAAAAAAATTGTCGGACTTAGTCCATTTCATAATAGTTTATGTCACTTGCTTACGTTAAGATACGCTTCAGATCTAATGAGCCTTCGAGAGAATTCATGCGGAATTTATAGCACGTCAGATTATATGACGCTTCCTTGTAGGGTACAGGTTCCGGAGAACATATATTTTCTTTGAGATTTCTCAAACATTCAGTCCGTTAAATGTTATTAATATTGTTAATTTAAAAAGAACATTTACTTAAATGTTAGTATCTATAAAAATAACGTATAAACAAAAAAATATATTAAAATATATATGTGTGTGTTTATGTGTGTGTGTGGTTCATTTTGTTTGAATGTATAAAAGGCCAATATCGGTGATAGGGCTTTTGCGAATATAACGCTGCCTGGCGATGTCAATTTTACGCCTCAAGCTATTTTCAGACCATTTGCCACTAATCCTTTTGCGGGCTTTATATATAGGCCACGGAAGGATTGAGATAACGTAAACTAATAAAGTTTATTTCAAATTTAGAACCGAAAAAATATAGAAAATGAATAAATAAATGAAATATATATATATAAATTTAAATGATAAAATAAGCAAATTAAATGTTACTATTTTAAATAACCTAAAACGTAATATATGAAGCCCATAGAATAAGTAGTGACACATGGTTTGAAGATCGCTTGAGGTGCAAATTTATGATTCAGCATGAATACTTATACAGTGTGAAAAAAACAGATTTAAATAAATATTTGAACAAACTGATATCAGGGGAAAAATCAATAAAAAAAAAAGAAAAGCCTAAAAACATCCGTATTGGTCGAAAATAATCAATCAGCACCCCAGTGCCCTATCAATTGAAATAAAAATACCGACAGAGTAAATTAAGTAAAAACATTCAGCATGAATGGTTTACAGACATATCACGTTGAAACACCTTTTCCCGTACGATCAATAAGGTTAACCAACGTCTACTCTGCTCAGTATCTAGATGAATGACCGTTTGCAAATATCAGATGATGTAAGCTTTATCTGTCTATATTTCTGAGATGAGGTATTATGTACATTATTTACATTATTCGGACTATTGTCCTCATCTTTGTCGCCATATTTATCACAACGTTTCGGCCTTTCAGTATCTGTCTATATTTCTGAGATGAGGTATTATGTACACTATTTACATTATTCGGACTAGTGTCCTCATCTTTTTCGCCATATTTATTACAACGTTTCGGCCTTTCAGTATCTGTCTATATTTCTGAGATGAGGGGTTATGTACATTATTTACATTATTCGGACTTTTGTCCTCATCTTTGTTGCCATATTTATCACGACGTTTCAGCCTTTCAGTATCTGTCTATATTTCTGAGATGAGGTATTATGTACATTATTTACATTATTCGGACTATTGTCCTCATCTTTGTTGCCATATTTATTACAACGTTTCAGCCTTTCAGTATCTGTCTATATTTCTGAGATGAGGTATTATGTACATTATTTACATTATTCGGACTATTGTCCTCATCTTTGTTGCCATATTTATCACAACGTTTCGGCCATTGTACGCTGCAGCCTTCTTCAGGGGGGTGGAATGTCGAACTGAACCCTTTATTTCGTTCGCTGGGGTAGACGCTTCTATTTCCACATGCCATGTCTAATGGATGTCAATTATCTCCTGTTAATCCCCCTCTCCAAGTTCTGCACCGCCTACCCATAATAATACCCAGAAATTCATACTCAGACGTCCTTAAGGACGCATGGCTCAGTGGATAAAGGCGTTAGTTAGATCCAGTGAGAGGACCCAAAGATAGTGAGTTCGATACCAGGTTAATGCGGTGGAGAACAGTCGACCCCAGTGAGCAAAATAAAGGGTTCAGTTCTACATTCCAAACGTTGTGATAAATATGGCAACAAAGATGAGAACAATAGTCCGAATAATGTAAATATTGGTGTAAGTTTGGTCTGTTTTGTTTTATGGCATATCAACACCTCAATGGGTTATTTAATGCCGGCAAGATTTTTATTGCTGGTAATACTTTTTGAAAAACGTATTGCTAGTAATATTTAACGTAATATTTTTTCTTCAAAAATGTATTTGACTAATATTGGTTCTCTCCAAAAATGTATTGCTGGTAATTATATATTGCTGGTAATATATTTTTTCTTCAAAAATTCATTATTGGTAATTTTTCCAAAAAAGTATTGCTGGTATTTTTTACTGTAAAAACCTATTTTTACACTTTCGTAGTGTTTCAACCCCATTTGGGGTTTAACTATTTGCCCAAAGCTGGAACCCTAACAGTGCTGCCACCCCGGGTCGGAATGGACCTGAGAACACCAGCAATTAAGAGGTGGTTTCACGCTCCTCAAAACCTTCTGATCAGAGGCTTTGCTGTTGGATATAATTTATCGATTTATTCAGGGCACGGATGTAGTTTATCGTCATACCCAGGACGGGCTGTAAGTTTGAATTCTTACAATCTTAATAATTTCTGGATTTAAATAACCTGTCACTATAGAACGTAGAAAACGAATCAATAGAAAAAAAATCAGCAAGGATCGTTGATAGTTATGTCCACGCAGGATCCAATGAGGATACATGCTTATACTACAAAGTCGTTCTGGAAAAGCCCCGAAACAACATCCGTAAGAAGTTATATAATGACCTTGTGGTTAAGATAATTATATATTTCTCTCTTGTAATCGTGGTCGGCATTTTAGCTCGGAGATAAAGCGATGATACGGGATGCTAATTGTCAAGACATGTAGTCGGCGTTTATTAGAGAAATATTTTGCAGAATACAATCTCGACCATACTATTTACGAGACGTCAAGAAAAAAGTGATCTTCAGTGACAGCGTTTGTCTGGACGACCTTTGTTCAAGAAACACGTTCGACTGACGTTGTTTGAAAAGATCCGCCATAAGTTTCAACTCTGTTCAGACGGCTTATATGTTTTGTTTTTCGGAATAACAAATAAAACACCTTGGTATCCGGGGAAAGCCATTCCTGGTAATATTAGACGATAATGCGAACCGACTTTTACGACAAACATTAAAAAAAAAACATTTAAAAAATAGCACTATTTACTTTTCCTTCCTGATCTTTCCGTTTCACTGTTCATCTTTCTCTATTTTCCTTCTCTCTGTTATATATATATATGTCTATTTGGGCAGCAATCCCTCTTTTATACATGTTTCATTAAAGACTGCTAACAAAGTCCTACGATTATGCTTTTTTATTCAATTTTTCTTGTGCTTGTATAAGTGTTTTCTTTTTGGGACATAAAGTGTGTAAAATCTGTTCTAAGCTTCTATATACCTCAGCTCTTTCGGGTAGTGTATTAACCCTTTTTTCCTTTTTGAACATAACACTTAGATCTTTATATATGTGTATCTATACTGATGGAAATATCTTTTTTTTCCCAAACACAATCAGCACATTCTGACCATGTTCGTATTTGATATTGATTGTTGGCGTTTTCTTTTTTATTATTATTTATGCTTCCATTATTTTAGCCTTTGTCGTTTTAGTTGTGGATAAGGAAATTATATCCTTATTTTTCTACGGGTATGATGCAGACGGTGTCTAATATGTTCCGTGTGTGTTTAAATGTTTCCCAATCGAGCTATGGACTGAGAGATGTAAGGTGAGTCTTCTTGATAGGCATGTGGTGGTATGTTCAATGTAATTATTCATGATTTTGCTTTTAAAAACTGTCCGAACATTCTATATATCCCAGCGCTTTCGGCTTGTCTATTAACCATTATCAAGGATGCTATTTTTCTTTTCTTTTTTTTTTCTTTTTTTTCTTTTTTAACAGAACACGTAGATCTTTATATATGTATATCCATAGTGATTGAAATGTCTTTTCTTCCCAAACACAATCAGCACGTTCTGATCATATTTGATATTGATTGTTGGTGTTTTCTTTTTTATTATTATTAATGCTTTCATTATTTTAGCCTTTTTCTTTGCTGTAAATAAAGCTGTTAATAAGGCACGGAGCTTAGTAGTTTCCGTGTGTGTTGAAATGGATCACAATTGAGCTATGGTTTGAGAGATGTAACGTGAGTCTTCTTTATAGGTATGTAGTGGTATGTCCAATGTAATTATTCATGAATTTGCTTTTATCTATCATAAAGTTTTAAAACAGCTAACCTCATCTTCATCAACAACAACTGATCTTCAAAATCCAAATTACGGTGGACCAATATTATTTATAAATTTACATTCCCGTTAAGGAAATGCGTTCCTGATCAAATCAAATTCAGTAATCGCAGTAACTTGTCAGATGTCTTTCATTATATATATATATATATATATATATATATATATATATATATATATATGTGTGTGTGTGTGTGTGTGTGTGTGTGTGTGTGTGTGTGTGTGTGTGTGTGTGTGTTTTTAGAGCGTCGTTTGTTGAACTATCACGAAGTCCATGTCGTCCTGACCGACGTTTCGAGCGTATAAGTCTTGATCAGAAAATTAACCAAACATGATTAAACGCTTTCTCCCAGAAATTGTAATTAAGGTCAGCACAATATGGTTACGGTACAAACCACAGGTGGGCTCCAAATGAGTCGCATCACGTTGAAACACCGGTTCTCGTCCGACCACTGAAGTTAAGGAACGTCTAGCCTGGTCAGTACTTAAATGGGTTGACCGCTTGGTAATACCACGTGCTAGGAGCTCGGGGTGTGCAGGTAATGTAAAAAATACCGGCTCCGAATGAGAAACCAGATAGCCGAGTTCGAACTCCAGTAGAGTCCGTTACATCCACTTGAGCACTAATACCTTAAGGGAAGGAAGCAAGCTCTTTTTCCATCTATGGATTAAATAGTAGGATTCATATCTAGAAAAATCATTGTTACAGGTGCATGTTCTTTCCTACTCTTCCAAGATACCCTGAATCAAAACGGAAGCGGAAGTCTCACCAGACCAAAGAACAATGTCAAATGAAAAATGGAGAGAGTTAGATCAGCACATTCTACTCTGTGGAGAGAATATTCTATGATTAGGCGTCGACGGCAAAAGTGATTGGCTAGATACAAACTGGCCATTAAATATATATAACACATTTGTTTATAGTAATTCGGACTTTGCTAACCAGACGCTTTCTTTGTAGCTGAATGGTTAACAGCACGTCAGATCAAATGATGTTTCCTATTGGGTTTCCCGGTTCGATTCCTATCGAAACAGCCCATATTTTCTACAAAATTTCTCGAAAGATTCAGACCAGTAAATGTAATTAATAATGTTCATTAAAAAACAGAGCATTTACTTAAATAAATTGTATCTATTAAAAATAGCGTATAAACAGAAATATATAAATATATAGCCGACTCTCTCCCCGTCGAATTCGACGTATGAGGGTCAAGCAGATCAGTTTCCAGGAAACCGACAGCCCGACAACAGCACATGAGATTTGATTATAGTGGTGACGGTTTTGTGTAGGACTATCCACATTTTTTGAAGGGCCGATTACAGAGACCTGGTGCACTACCTGGTGCACAATATATATATATATATATATATATATATATATATATATATATATATATATCGTCGACTCTCTCCATCAAATTCGACATATGAGGGTCAAGCAGATCAGTTCCCAGGAAACCGACAGCCCAACAACAGCACATGAGATTTGATTATAGTGGTGAAGGTTTCGTGCAGGACCATCCACACTTTTTGAAGGGCCGAATTCAGAAACCTGGTGCACTAGGTGTTACAAGGTCCCCAAACGACCCTCCGCAGGTTTTGAATTCAGAGTTGTCCTAGACCAGTTGCCATCCAAGGCTATAGAACCCAGTCTGTCCTGCTATTTACCCATAGCTAGAGGGAGAAGAAGAGGATTCACACCTTTCCCAAGGGTATTAGCACGTAAGTGAATGTAATGGATTCGACTGGAATTCGAACTCGGCTCTCCGATTCCTCAATGCAAGCCGCTATCCATTTCTCCAGGTATGGGATAAGAATAAATGGTGTATAATTCCACTGTCGATAGCATTTATTTTTTTTAAAAAGGGCCCAATACAGAGTAGAGCTTAATATTATTTATATGAGATGAAAACAAAAAATATGTTAAAAATCGCTACACAATAGTTTTCATGTTTCAACACTCAAGTTGTGTCTCCTCAGGTGACGGTAGTCATTTGCCATCAACTGAGGAGGCACAATTTGGTGGTGAAACATGAAAGCTATCATGTAGCATTTTCAGCATATTTTTGTTTTAATCTATATATATATATATATATATATATATATATTACAATGAATCGTTCATACAAAATGTAGATTATTAAAGTTAATGATATAAAATGGCGAAATCCCTTCACAAACAAAATTTTAAAGGTGCATTAACCTACGAATCACTCGATGAATGTTATGATCCTTGTTTTTGAAAATTATACTTTCAACTGTACATTTAGAAATTATTTTGTTTTTGATAAAATTCAGGTAGCATCCAAGACGAAAAAAGTACATGCGAATCGAAATTTTTTTTTTTTTAAACATATTTTGATTCGCATTTAACTTTTTCGTCTCGGATGCAACCTGAATTTTACCAAAAACAAAATAATTTCCTTGCACGGCACAGTGAGCCAACTTTCCTTGCAGCAGATGTAACTATTGATTCAATGTAGTTATTCCACTTCAGGTCATTTTAAACCGTGAGAGCGAGATGGCACCGTGAGACACTCTCCTGGAGTCTAGCATCAACCATGCTAAGGACGGACAGGGACTTATCTTTGTGGTGGCTAAATCATAGGAGCTTTGTTTTGGAGACATTAAAATTTACAAGCTATTTGATCGAGAACAAAAAAGCCTAACTTGTATAACACTGTCGTCTTGTTGGGGTGGGGGATGACAATTTGCCCATAGCTGAGACACTCTAGCAGGTGCTGCCACCCCTGGGAACAACAGCAATTTAGAGGTGGCTCGGGAAAAGGAGGTTAGATAACGATTCACCTTTGATCTCAGCAGGTTAAGATTAAATGTTCTTATAAGTCCACAAGCGGGAGCTTATTCCAGAAATTTCTTGGAGAAAAACTAATACTTTCTTCTTAAATTTTGACATGAGAGTGAGTCAACTCTGTGGAAATGGCATGACGTGTACTTATTTTAGTTTTTTTTTTATTTTACCCCAAGCAAGGCAATAATGCCACTAAGATGCAATGAATTTCTGAGTGTGAAAGAATATGAGAAAAAGAAAAACATTATTAAGGAGAGAGAACAATAAAAGAACAATAATTAATAACACAGAAGATAACGATAGACATTTCATTTAAATTATTTGAAGATCAAGGTTAGTTCGGAAGCAAGAAGCCGAGAGAGATTTGCACGAAGGAGAAGTACGAGAAAATTTAAAACATCTATTAGTATAGAACTTACGGTTACATCTAGATTTACTATACCAACAGAAAAAAGGGGGCAATTTGAGAATGAGTTATTAACAGTGGTTTTTTTCCTAGTGAACCTGAGTGAAAGTGTGTATGTTAACGCGTAGTAATACTTATGTTGCATATATATATGAAATAGACAATGAAAGAACTGACATAGATAGATAGATAGATAGATAGATAGATAGATAGATAGATAGATAATGAACAAACTGACATAGATAGATAGATAGATAGATAGATAGATAGATAGATAGATAGATAATGAACAAACTGACATAGATAGATAGATAGATAGATAGATAGATAGATAGATAGATAGATAGATAGATAGATAATGAACAGACTGACATAGATAGATAGATAGATAGATAGATAGATAGATAGATAATGAACAGACTGACATAGATAGATAGATAGATAGATAGATAGATAGATAGATAGATAGATAGATAGATAGATAATGACCAAACTGACATAGATAGATAGATAGATAGATAGATAGATAGATAGATAGATAGATAGATAGATAATGTCCAAACTGACATAGATAGATAGATAGATACATAGATAGATAGATAGATAGATAGATAGATAATGACCAAACTGACATAGATAGATAGATAGATAGATAGATAGATAGATAGATAGATAGATAATGAACAGACTGACATAGATAGATAGATAGATAGATAGATAGATAGATAGATAGATAGATAGATAATAAACAGGCTGACATAGTGTTGTGACCAAGTAATTGGTTAAGAAATAACAAAACAAGAGGTTGCAGACAAATAGCGTATTGAACAGTAAATACAAGAGAAGAGTATTACACGACTTGGGAGCGTGTGTCGGTTGACCCACGTTCAGTCTATATCACCGTTCCCCCGAGGTCTACTTTTCCTACTAACTTTATAGTCCACAATAGACTCATTAGAGGGAGGACACCACAACATCAACCCTTCATAGGTTATTTGCAGATCATTGATATGTTATTAGTGATATGTTTATATAAGCAATAAATAAATTTTTTGCGCACGTTTTAGTTAAAATGCTTTTGCACACCCTATATATTTCATCTATTAATATATAAAGCAATGATTCCCAACATGGGTCGTATACCCCATCGGTGGGGCATGATAATATTTTGGTGGGACATTAGTAGGATTTGCACACTTCGGCCTATACCAACAGTATACTAGTATACCAAGAGAATAAAGGGGGGGTCAATTCGAGAAGGAGTTATTAACAGTTATTAACATTAATTTGTTGTGACCATTTCCATCTTCATATTTAGCTGAATGTGGCTTTACAGCTGTAAATGATTTGTTATTAAAGAAAAGAAATCGACTGTATATCACTAAACGAGGAGACTTAAGGCTTAAGCTGACTAAATTGATGCCTAATATAAAATCTGTCTGTAGCAGACATGACGTACAAGGATCTCACTAACAGTCATTTTGGGATGAGCTCAAATTTCATTTTGTATTATTATTTCAGGATTAAAATGATCAAAGTATATTACAGGAAAACTTCCATTCAAATATATTATATTTCTGCCTTTCAGTTCTCTATTATATGTTTCGAAACTATATATATATATATATATATATATATATATATATATATATATATATATATATATATATCTTTTGTTTTTTTAATTTTTCTTTCATGGACGCCATGGTCTTTAGAGGCTTGTTTAGAGACGAAATTAATGGCATTTTAAGCTTCTTTCAAGTGAATTGCAGTAAAATATTGAATATATAAGAATTAAATACTAAAGGGGGTGGCACCAGAATTTTAGAAATACCAAAGGAGGGCATGGCCCAAAATTAGTTGATAACCACTGGTGAAGAGTGATTTGACATGTGAGATTGTTTTTCATATTTATGTTGTATATAGTCTCGATTAAGTCACCAGAGTGTTTTATACTTTAAGAATATAAAGCAATACATTTTTGGAAAAAAAAATATTATCATTAATAAATTTTTGAATTGCCGTAAAAATTTTGAATATGTAAGCATTAAATATTATTACCAGCAGTACATTTTTGAAAAAGAAAAATATTGCTAGCAATACATTTTTGGAAAAAAAATATATTACCAGTCATAAATTTTTGAATTGCAGTAAAATTTTGAATATGTAAGAATTGAATATTACAGTGGGATACCATAATTTTAGAAATACCAAGGTGGGGCATGGCCCCAAATTAGTTAGGAACCCCTATGCTAGATAAATTAGAATGAACATGCATCATCATAGACATTGCATGTCCCGG